AAGCGGCTGCACTCTGCTGCTAACGGATGGCAGTTCCCCTTCTTCCTCGGGTGCCCCTTCTGTGGGACAGACGTAGTCCAAACTCGACAGGTTTCCCTTGAACAGGCTGCTGGTCGGTTGTGGCTCTGGGAGCAGTGCCAGGGGACCGTGGGCAGGAGGAGAGGGACACTGGGGTAAGCACCCACTGAGAGCGAAGCCCAAGCTGGGCTGCCGGTGCCCTGCGCCAGCTGGCGATGCCCTCCCAGTGTCTGTAAGGTCCAGCGGCTGGATCTTACTGCCACAGGTGGATCTGAGATTTTACAAATGGTAAAAGAAAAGGTGTTTCTTGTGGGCTTTGCACACAGGTCCTCTCTGATGGAAAATGAGAGGCTCTTACTTCTGTTGCTGATCAAAGGTGATGGAGCACTGAGAAGAATATCTTGAGGAAAGGAAACAAGTACATATTCTTTTGTAAATTCACAGATCAGGAGTGACATGACTGCAGAACAACATTCCAGGGTACAGGACATTGCAGAACTTGGAAAACACTGATTATTAAGTATTACTAAATAACAGCTGGAAATTGCACTGTATTTTTCAAATGGCTAATTAAGGATAGATGCATAAATTGGGGCACTAGCCCCATGGAATTGGGCCACGGCATGACTGACCCAATGCCAAACACCCAGCTGATTGCTCTGGTCAAAGCTGTCGGTCTGGGAAATTTGGCCAGCAGCTGCCTAAAGGGGAAAAGCTCTGCAATCAAGAGGTTTCCAGCCATCCCAGCTCAGGCTTTGTGGTACAGAAAGAGGTACCGTAGCGGTAACTCTCAGTGTGGCTCATGCCACCAGTGGCAAGAGCTGGCCATGCTGGGGAGCTCAGCTCTGTGCCACCTTCACCTTCACATCCACCTGGGTGACGGGGTGGCACCTGCAGGGGCTCTCTGGTGGGCAGTGGTCATTGCCAATAACGCTGTCCTCTGCTTGCAGACCACGGCATCGCCCAGCAGCGTCCCTCCCAGCCTCCATGCCTCCACCGTCAGCAGCATCTTCAGTGCTCGACCTCCGCAGCCTCGAGAAAGCGTCCTTGGCATTAGCTTCAAGCCCTACAGCCCAGAGTCCGGCCCAGCCCCGGCTGCCTGCACGACCTGTGAGAGCGCACGTAAGAGGATGGTGCCAAGGGTGGTCTCTGGCCAGGCTGGCCGTGGCCCCAGCTCAGGTGGGGAGGGAGGCAGGGAATGGGAGCCTGTGCCCGCTGCTGGCACATGCCTTAGCCATAAGCTGGTGTTTCTCTGGGGGTGTGAGGGGTTGCTGGGGGCAAAGGAGAGGAGGGGGAATGCCACGAGGTGGTGTGGGTTGTGCATGGCTTTTCTCTCCCACATCTCATGGGTCCTCTGGGGAGCCAGAGGCATGGGGAGCCGGGGAGCTCCTGGCACTTGCCCGTGGGCAGTGGGGTCTGG